GATATAGGGACAGTCCTATACTTTAAGATGCTCTCTTGTTCAGTTATTTTTCCCTGGGTGGCAATTTTTCTGCTCTAAATTCAGGGACAGTGAACTAAGAGTGCATGTGTGTTTGAGAATGGCTAGGCTGTAGAAATCTTCACTCTCAACTAAGTAAAAAGCACTGGTGAAATGGATAATGAAGAACCTCTGCAAAGCAGGCAGTTTAAATTTTAATTGATCTAGCAAATTACAGTTCCCCACATTCATACAGAATTCATGCAACCCAAGCCCGTTCTGCCTGACACCAAAGGACTGATGTTAACCAAAGGACCTTGATGCCAGAAAGCAAGGAGCACACAACCTGCCAACTGAAATCTTTGAGAGTTTGCCATAAAAATCAGGGAATTTGTACATATGTACGCCCATAGAGAAACACACAATTTTAAACTTTATTTTAATGTAAATTATAGCATATTGTATATGTACATATAAATACATTTGAAAAATCTCCCTTTGTGACAATGGTGGCTTTGAGAAGAAGGGGTGGGGGACCAAGGTTAGGAATGGAGAACAAAGAGACCCTAGCAAAGGGACAGTAATGTTCTTCTTCTTTCTTTCAGTTGGCTCTTCTTTTATTTTGTTTTTGTTTTTCAAGACAGGTTTTCTCTGTGTAGCCCTGCCTGTCCCGGAACTTGCTCTGTGGACCAGGCTGGCCTCAAACTCCCAGAGATCTGCCTGCCTCGCCTTCTGAGTACTGGGATTAAAGGTGTGCATCACCACTGCCCAGCGTCAGTTTGTTCTTATTTAAAGAAACAGAGACATACTTTACCTTCACAACTAGAAATTACTTCTAACTGTTGAGAAATAATACTCTCTAAAAGAACTAAGACAAGTAATATACATAACAATTTGCTTTTTTGAAACTTTTAAAAACTGATTTTTTGCCTAGCCTGTTTAAGCCTATTTATGATGATGCAGCTGATTCCATGTGGTCACTGGGATGAGTGAAAATTTTAAATAAAAATTTTTCTTGCTCTGAATGTTTTTATCTGAATAAATACTACTTATAGCTAAGAAGATATTCATGAATGGCTCACAGTAGTCACTTAATAAACGCTGAATGAATGAAATGGATGGATGGATGGATGGATGGATGGATGGATGGATGGATATTTGGATTGGAAGATGGATGTATGAATGGATAGATGGATAGATAGATAGATAGATAGATAGATAGATAGATAGATAGATGGATGGATGGATGTTTGGATTGGAGGATGGATAGATGGATGTGGGTACAGATGGATGTACAGATGTTTGGACTGGAGGATAGATTGATGGATAGATAGATGTATGTATGTATGTTTGGATTGGAGGATGTATGGATGTATAGATGGATATTTGATTGGAGGATGGATGAGTGGGTGAATGGATGGATGGACATTTGGATTGAAGGATGTGTTGATGGATAGATTAGATGGATGGATGTTTGTATTGGAGGATGGATGGATGGATGGATGGAGGGAGGGAGGGAGGGAGGGAGGGAGGGAGGGAAGGATGGATGGATACTTTATTGGGTGATTAAATGGGTGGGATGGATGAATGCATATATATACATATAAGTAAGTAAATGATGGGTTGATGTATAGATGGATTAATCTAATGTGAGAGGTCATTGTTAATTTAAAGATGACTCTGAGTACGTGTTATATAAAATTTGGAAAAAAAATCAAGGAAAATTAAAGCACATTCTCACTCACTGTCAACTGATTTGATAAAAATAGTATTTTGTTCCTTAAAAAATAATCAAAATGGGAGCTGGAGAGATAAGTCTGTGGTCAAAACATTGGCTGCTCTTCCAGAGGACCTAGGTTCAATTCCCAGCACCCCCATGACAGCTTACAACTGTCTGTAATGCCAGTTCCAGGGGATCTGACACCCTCTTTGTCCTCTGTGGGCACCAGGCACACAGAAACACATGCAGACAAAATATATACAATTAAGACAATAAAAATGAAGGGCCTCATAAGATAGTCTTAGTTATATAACAAGTTGAAAATGAGATTTGGTGGGAACTGGGGGACAATGAGAAGTTTCTTCTTTCAAAGAAATGAGGGAACAACATACAAAAACCAGTGAAATCGTTTGGGAGTGCAGTGGGGCTTAAGTAATTACCCAAGGTACAGGGAGGACCATGGTGTCCAGAGGGGAGCAAGCTGACGGGAAACCAACTCGGCATAAATATGGCTATCACTTCAACAGGGACAGAAGAAGACAGACCACTGCCAGCCATGTCTGCTGCCACCCAGAACACAGTCCCAGAATGACAGCGGAGCCTCTAACTGTGTGAAGGGAAACGGGAGACCCATGCTCTCATGGGTGGGAAAGGCCAGAGTGATTTTTCCTGGGTCATCACCCTCTTCCTGTCCACCCCCCCCACCCCATCTCCACTCCCAAGCTCAGAGCCATTGTCCTTCCCTTTCTCCCTGGCTCTTCGTATTTCTGCACCTTCCGTAAAGGAAAATAATGGCTGAATGCGATGCATGATGCATTCATCTGATCTTTGCAACAGCAGCCCACCCTTCTGTAGACCTTGAACCAGGATCGGGGGAAAACACCCTCTATTTCCCCTGAATTCTAGAAGGTTTTCAGCAGGCATCTTGCTAGAAAACACTTCTTGGTTTATGCCACAGAGTTTTAGAGCCTCTGCCTTGAGCAACGCCCTGGGGTTCCTGGCTTTCCAGAGCTGCCAGGCATCATTAAATTAGTGGACTGCAAAAGCAGCGGGTTTGCCTACTTCCTACAGACACCAGACAGAGCAGGGCTCTGGGTGGAAAGAAGAGAGAATGAAGTTGTCCCCACTTCCTGCTCCTACCCCCCACGAAAGCTGCCAGTGATTGACTTTGGAAGTGCCACATTCCCATCTCTGCTAGGAACACACGCTGTCAAACCTGTTTTTCTGTGCCTTGAACAATTCTGTCAAATGCCATAAGTCATGCTGTCAAGAGAACTCTGTTTTTAACAGAAGCACCCGCCTGAGTCTTGGTTCCTCCAACACACTAACCTTGGCTGTTGGCCACATGCGACGGGGACCCGATGCTCCACCCCCCTTCCCAATGGATGACCTGATGGATGAACGTGGTAGCTGGTGACAAGCTGAAAAAAAGCTGGGACTTGTGTCTGCAGGGGCCAGGCACACAGGCAAAGTGGTCAGCACTTGTTCCGCCTGCAGGGACCAAGTCCTCAGTTTGATGTTGCCAGACACGTGGCTCTGTCCTTCTGCTACCAGAACAACAAGAAACCATCCAGAAGGAGTGGAGACAAAAGGAGAGCAGAGTGCTGAGGACAGTTTAGTTCCAAGAGCAGCTCCCTCCCAGGGGTAGCAAAGAAACTCCGTGCTGTCTAGCTCTTTGAGGGAAGCCTTCATGACGTCAGAATCCCTGCCAGGTATCTGGACTGTGACTTCCACTTACCCTGACCTACCAATTGTTAACTGTGGCATCTGGAGGACAGCTACAAACCCTTGCCTTATTGGTACAATGGGAACAGCAACAGCACCCACTCATGGGGATATTGCAAAGATTAAGAGTCCGTGTATGTAAAGTACTTAGAACTTGAGTGTTGTCTGAGTGAGAAGAAAACAGAGGAAATAGTAAAAAATGATTAAACATCCCAGAGAGAGAACCAATCCACTGTGACCAAAGAGCTACTCCTGTCTAAAGACACTCTGAAATCTAAAAGGCATTTCTTTTTCTCTCCATGCAAAGAAGGTTAACTGTAAGAAAGATGTTTCTTCTTTTCTTCCCCAGAGAGAAAGGGAACTTTTATGCAATCAAATTCATGTTACATCAAGAAATTAGAAGACAAGCTAGGCAAGAATTCTAGAGCAAGGTGGAATTCATTAATATTCTGAGAGAGATGGAAAGTTGAAGAGATAGTAGAGTCATTATGAGACATTTAAACACCCACCACAGAGAGAAACTCCTAATGGGTGAGTGTAGGTATAATTTAATGCTTGCATTTATGAGAAAAGCCAGGAAATGACAGGTCTGTAATTTTGACTTCACGAAGGGGAGGTAATGGAAGAGCTGTTCAGACTCCCAGCAGTGGAGTGCTGTGAAAGTTATTATTTAATTAGGGGCTGTAAGCACAGATTCAAATGAGGGAAGAGTTCTCGTTTTGCAGACAGAAGGTCCATTGTCATCCCAGGAAATGAAGAGGCAGCAGACAGTGACTGGTCAGCTGCTGTATGAGATCCTACCTGGAACCCATCTCTGAGGACCTAAGTCCAGAAAACCTCATGCTGCCTCCTGCCTTTGTCGCTGAGAACTCTTGGGGTCAGCCTCAACAGAACAGAATCACAGGACCAGTAATGCCTTTTGGAATAAATAGGGCAGCAGAAAAAGAAAGCTGGCCAGTTTCAGTGATTGAACTGGGAGAGAAAAAGATTAAATGAATGCCAAAGGGGTTGAGTTAGGACAGGACAGCCAGAACCTAGTGATAAAACAGCCAGACGCTTTGAAGTCAGGGCCCAACATTTTCCATCACATCTATAAGGGGATGTGATACCACCTAGGAGACAACGACAGAGGTATACAGTGATGTGAGCCAACGAGGCCCAGCTTTACAGTGATTTTGTACACTCCCACAGCCCCGCTGCCTCTGCAGGATCACTGTGAATTACAGTGATGTTGACAGACATGTATGAAGGGCTTCAGCACCAAATCCCCTTAAAGAGAAATGAGGTGCTGGCAAGATGGCGCAGTGGGTAAGGGCAATTGTCACCAAACTGATGATCTCAGGAACCCACATGGTGGAAGGAGAGAACCAACTCCAGCAAGTTGTCCTCTGGCCTCTACACATGCACGCACACACACACACATGCACGCACACACACACACATGCATGCACACACACACACACACACACACACACACACAGAGAGAGAGAGAGAGAGAGAGAGAGAGAGAGAGAGAGAGAGAGAGAGAGAGAGAGAGAGAGAGAGATGCTAAAAATTAAAATGAATTAATTAATGAAAAAGAAAACAACAGAGGAATTCATGTTGCTTGAGGAACTGTCTCCTTTACTGTGGTGGGAAAGGTAGGGAAGCTTAGGGTTATGCCTAGCATCAGTATTTTTCCAAAAATGGACTTTGAAAGCAAGCCAGACTCTGACTTGGAGAGTACTAGAACTCTATGGGTTAGTCACACGGTCCTCAGCAATTTAGCTGCAAACTCTGGGGCCTCATGCCCAAAGAATTATTACATTTTCCTTGAGACCGTCAGTCTTCCACTATAAGCAGCTCAGATCTGGGCGCCCTACCTGGTCAGAGCTGTCTGTTAGTCTGGAGGTTATAACCATGGGAGTTTCCCGGTGTGGAAGAGCAGAGTTATTTGAACATGCGTTCTTGTCCTGACTACAACTCTAATTCTGGTGACCTTGGGAAATGTGCTTCCTCCCTATACCAGTCTCTATGCTGTACACCAGGGTTATAAGCTGGAGTGTGAGGCATTTGGAAGTGTGCTTTGGGGAAGGCAAATTTAATAATGAATACAGTGTGCACTGAGAAGGCTGGGTGTTGAGACCAGGCCCAGGTTATGGGAGACTAGGGAGCTCGAATGCAGGCGAAGCATGTGAGGAACACTAAAGAGCCTGTGACCAGAGAAGTTGTGCAAATGGGGTAGAGTCAGCAGAGATGGTATGTGGGTTCTAAACAGGCCTTGTCTGGAACCTGCTCTCTGAAGGAAGTTTGGGGTTTGCTTCTGAAGCTGCATCAGCCCAGGTCCATCTACAGCATCCTGCAGAGGCCAAGCTTCCCTCAGGAACCATCTGGGGCTCCTCCATTTATTCTGGAGAATAAATTATAGAATTCCCATTTTATTTCCAAAGTTTGTATTTAGACTTCTCTCTGGCAAAGTCTGAACATCCTTTCTGGACTGTTCCTGAACCTTCTTCCACTGTCTGTTCCATCTGGAAAGTTCTTGGCCCCTTCTGCTTCTACTGGGGTGGATGAAATATCTTCATTTATCAAGGTCTATGGCATCATTTCTGACTCCAAATTTATTGTGTCCACTTGGTCCTGCAGGACTTTCAGGAGCCTGTGACAATGCTGGAGATTGGTGGTAAGGAGGTAGAAAGGGTCAGCTACAAAATGTGAAAACTATAAAATCAAAATAATATCTATTTTTAAAAGGCATTGTGTTAATTACTTTTTCCTGACTGTGACAATATTCCCGATAGAAAAAATTTTGGGGCGTGTTTTAGCTCACGGTTTCACAGAGTTCTGTGAAAACATCAAGGGGTTGAACCAGTTACTAAACCAGAGTCCCAGGGATTTAACTCTGGAAATGCCCTCCCAGACTCCTGAGAGGTGTGCTCTACTACTCTCCTAGGGTCTTCTGTTCAACCCAACCAAGTCAACAGCTGAAATTAGCCATCACAGTCATCAAAATAATTCTGACAGACATATTTTCCATTTAATGTGGAAACTAGCTGTATTCCCACATGGTTACTGTATCCAGGAGGGGGTCTCCAGAAGAAGATGTCGAGGGTTGCCAGGCAAATGTTGAAGCCAAGGCTCAGCACACTGTGCGTACTGCTCTTCCTGTAGCTGCAGGGCAGGCTCCTAGCCTACGACCCCAGGTTTCTCTCTTCTGCACAGCTCCTCCCTTCCTTCCTCTCCCCCAACCCCAACTGCCTTGAGAAGTAAGGATTTGACACGTGTCTGCTGAAGAAATACATAACTGCAGGGTTTGGAACTGGTTGTCCTTACAATTCATTGTCATAACCAGACCTTGAGCTGTGTAAAGGGAACTTTAGCCCTTACTAATGACACTATTTTCCATTTATCAGCAGCCGAGGGAATAATGCATTCTGTGGAGTGTAATTAGATCATTTTACTGAAAATGATCAGAGCAGCAGCAAATTGTGTCTGTATGATGGATCTTCAGCATCACCAAAAATTTTTTTGTCAAATTTACAGGCAGATTATTGTCTTAATTCCAAAATGATGTATCCAAAGATTTGTTAATGTGTCAGATGCAATGGAAAGTTGTAACGAAATAGAAACTGAAAGCAGGATAAATGTGTAGCATCTACTGCTTCCATTTTTTTTAATCAAATAAAATTAGTCTTCACTCATGAGTTGGAGAAAGGATATCCTTTATGAAGAAAAAAAAAAAGAAAACCCAGCTGAAACGGATGTCACAGAGAGCCAAAAATTGTTGAGGCAAAATTCAAAATCCACCATTGCACAAGCTGACATTTCAAGTTTGCCTCTGAGAGCCAAGCTCCAAAGGTCAGGTCTGAGACACATGTTCAAAAACATGCTTTCCCACAGCCTCAGGTGTGAGATGTAAAGTGATATTTTCAGCAGCATTACTAGTCTATGTCAACATGAGCACCCCAGCTGTCTATCAGACTGAAAGTAATTGGAGGGCAGAGGCTGCCTCTCCCTCCTGGGTCTGTCTTCACTTCTTGTCACAGTGTCCCATGCTTAACTGGTATCTAAATGTGTGAATATTTCACACATAAATGTGCTTGTTTGGACTTAAATGCATGTAACTTATTCTCATTAGATTCAAGACCACCCTGTGAGAATAAGTGATGTTGCTTTCTCATGACACATATAACCTGAGCGTTTTCAGAGCATGGGTGACTGGGACTCTAACAAGAACCCCAGGACCCCATGATCTGCTGGATCAGCCAAGCAGGAAGGTGTTGCATGCCCCACCTTGACAGAAAGTCCCAGTAGGAGCTCCCTGGTCATTTGCATCTATGTGAGCGAGCACACATCTGGGGTATTTTGTAATGGATCTACAGATGCTCTACCTGTGCGGAGTCCAACAGCCAAAAGGTGGAGTGTGCAAACACTAATCGCTACATTGTATATGACGCTAAAATTAATTTAAAATAAAATGGGGCAGTAGCATGCTGTGTCAGGTTGACCAGGAGACACACCTCTGGGTATGTCTGTGGGGGCTAACTGAGAAGAGGGGGCCCACCTAAGCACCATCCCATAGGTTCCTGACTACAGATGCAATGTGACCAGTTCACATACCTGCGGCCACCTTTTCGCGCCTTGATGGACTGTAGCTGCTAATGGAGAACCTCAGAGGATAAACCCTCCTCCTCCTTTAAGCCCCTTTCTTTAGGACATTTGTTCGCAGTGAGAAAGGAACTAAGGCACGGCTAACTGAACCGGCCAGGAATTGGTTTGGGGGAGCTTGGACCTTATCACGTGACCACACAGGTTCCTCATGTTGTAACAGCAGTGGCATGGTGGGGCAGTAAGAGTTTTTGCTCCGAATAGGATTGCTCTTCAGGCCTGTGGAGTGAGGTCCTTACAGAGATGATCTTCAGTAGAGACTAAGTCAGACACTCAGTTCACCGGTGACAACACACACTGTGAAAACGTATGGCTCTTAGTTCTTTCTCAATTCATTAAAGCCCAATAATGGAGAGAGGGCCATCGCAATGACAGGAAGTCCTTGAATTGCCACATCTTACTGGAGCCATGGACAAGACACTTGTTCTCTCCTTCAACCCATTTTGAAAGAGATCACAGAGAAGCAGCAGCGTTTTCAATGAACTGGGCCAGCTTCACATCCCATTTGGTCAAGCCTCCACAGTCATGTGAAGTGAGAGTTATCTGGACCTTGTTGTACACATTGAACCATTCTGGGTGATGATTCATCTTCTCTGCTTGTAGGGCAACCCTGGACATAAAGCCAAAGGCCTGATTAAAATTTTTTAAGATGAACTCTTTGTAGATGGCATCTCTCTCACTTAATCCTGCTGCTTTCAAGCCAGGAATAAGTTGGTTCCTCTCCTCTGCTGTCAGCCACTGTGCACCTGAAGACATGGCCGCCCGGCTCGCACCAAGAGAGCTTGGGGGAGCGGGAGATGCCAGCTGGATCAACAACAGAGAGGGAGAACAAGGAATAGGAGACCATGGTAAATGAAGACCACATGAGAATAGGAAGAAGCAAAGTTCTAGAGAGGCCCACAGAAATCCACAAAGATACCCCCACAACAGACTGCTGGCAATGGTCGAGAGACAGCCCGAACTGACCTACTCTGGTGATGGGATGGCCAAACACCCTAATTGTCGTGCTAGAAACCTCATCCAACTACTGAGGGATCTGGATGCAGAGATCCATGACTAGGCCCTGGGTGGATCTCTGGGAGTCCAGTTAGCAAGAATGAGGAGGGTTTATATGAGCGAGAATTGTTGAGACCAAGGCTGGATAAAGCACAGGGACAAATAGCCAAACGAACGGAAACACATGAACTATGAACCAATGACTGAGGGGTCACCAACTGGATCAGGCCCTCTGAGTGGGTGAGACAGTTGATTGGCTTGATCTGTTTGGGAGGCATCCAGGCAGTGGGACCGGGTCCTGTGCTCATTGCATGAGTTGGCTGTTTGAAACCTGGGGCCTATGCAGGATCGCTTGGCTCGGCCTGGGAGGAGGGGACTGGACCTACCTGGACTGAGTCTACCAGGTTGATCTCAGTCTACGGGGAAGGTTTTGCCCTGGAGGAGATGGGAATGGGGGGTGGGCTGGGGGGAAGGTGAGGGGGGCGGGAGGGGGGAGAACAAGGGAATCTGTGGCTGATATGTAGAACTGAATTGTATTGTAAAAAAAAAAAAGGTGGAGTGTGGTGGTTTGAATGAAAATGACCCCCATAGACTCATAAGGAGTGCCCTTATTCGAGGTGTGGCCTTGTTGGAGTAGGTGTGGCCTTGTTGGAGGAAGTGTGTCACAGGGGGTGGGCTTTGAGGTTTCAGAAGCTCAAGCCAGGCCCAGTGTCATTCTCTCTTCCTGCTGCCTTTGCATACGGATGTAGAGCTCTCAGCTACCTCTCCAGCACCATGTCTGCCCTCATGCTGCCATGCTTTCTGCCATGACATTAGTGGACTAAACCTCTGAACTGTAAGCCAGCCCCAATTAAATGCTTTCCTTTATAAGAGTTGCTATGGTCATGGTGTCTCTTCACAGCAATAAAACCCTAAGACATGTTCTAGTGTGTATACCAGGGAACTAGGAGATTCACAGGATCTCTGCTGTCACCCTACAGGGTTAGAGGTGAAATGGAAAAGGGAAATGTGTTCCTTGGGGACAAAGAAGGGAAATCTTAATAACCAACTAGATTGGATTAAGAGACACCTGGAGCATTAGTGAAGTGAACTTCTGGGTGTCTCTGCCATGGCAGTTCCAGGGATGATCATGAGGGCTCTGCCTAGTGAATGGATTAATCCCTTGATAGATTCATAGGATGGCATTAGTAGGAGAAGGTGAAAAGTAGTAGTTGGGGCTCTGTTGGAGGAAGTTCGTCACTACGGGTATGTCATTGTGGGCTACATCTTGTCCCACCCCTTCATGTACCCCATTTCTTCTGTCTTCTAGACATAGTGATGTGAACCAAACTGTCTGCCGAGACTTCCTGCACTTCCGGAACTGTGAGCCCCAATAATGTCCCCTGTAACTTGTTTGCTCCAAACATTTTGTTGCAATAATAGAAAAGCAACAAACAGAGTCACACGGAAAGCCAGCGGTTGGGCAGGCAGGCAGGTGTGGGTGCTGATGCTAGGACTCCTGTCACATAGATGCAAACCTGAACATGTGTTTCTGTGTGCCTCTGCCTCCCCTTTTCCCCCTCCTCCTCCTCCTGCCCTCCTTATTCTCCACCTCCACCCCCCTCCCCTGTTCCCTTCACCAGCATCCTGATATCCTCCCCTTAGCGTCCTGTGTCCTGGTGTACATTATTCTCATCAGTAGGTAGCACCACTTGTTCCTTTGCATTTCCTTCCTGCTTCCCACAAGAGCCACCAAGTGTGCTTTCAGAGCCTCAGTTGGGGGTTAACTTCCCAGGTCAGCAGACACCCTGCCTGGTGCTCTTGTCTTCCACACTTGGTCTGTAGGATGGACAAATGACTCTTTGTCCCTTGTCCTTGGAAAGCGCTGGTTCTTGCCGGGAGAAGAGTCAAGAGTTAGGACAACACTCACAGGTCCCCTTCTCAATGTTCCTTTACTGCAGGAATTTGTTGACCACCTAGTGTGTGCCAGCTCTGACTAGAGAGAGGTCCTGGAGAGTCTTCTGCAGAACAGTACACGGGGAAGAACAGGAAGAGAGACACATACATAATTGGGAGTTTGATAAGCAAAACACTGCAATGTTAATTTTAGTATCTTTTATTTAATGTAACTCATCCAAAATGTTGCAGTTTCAGAAAATAGTCCATTTGTTACCTTCTTTTTTTTTTTTTTCCAGACTAATCCTTTAAACTCTGATCTGTCCTTTGTACCCACAGTACATCCATTCAGATTGTCCACATTTCAGGTGCTTAGCCAATGGGGCCAGTGGCTACTGCACTGGACACGGTACAGGTCCTGAGAAACAAGAGACAGGGGCATATGCCTATGAGGAGGACATAAGGTTGAAGCCTGCCCGAGGCTGCCCAGGGAGGTGGCAGGAGAGGCCGGGTGACTGGTCGTCAGGGCTAGAGTGTGTAGAGCTGTCATGGATACAAGCAGAAGAAATATTCCTGTGGGGATTGAATCCAGAGTGGCCCATTGATGGGAACTATGAACAGAGAAGTGCCAGAGGAAGGAGCTGGGACAGCACATTGGAGAAACCATGGCACTTTCCAGGAGAGCAGCACATTGGAGAAACCATGGCACTTTCCAGGAGAGCAGCACATTGGAGAAACCATGGCACTTTCCAGGAGAACGGCACATAGTTTGGCCTCTAAATACTGACTTAGTTTTTATTGATACACAGTATTTATTGAACACCTACTATGTGTCAAAGACTGACTATTGGTGATTTAATGGTGAATAAGATGGTCCAGGTCCCTTCACCAGGGAAATCACATTGTACTTAGGAAGGGAGGCAATAAAGAAATGCATTGAAACAAGACCATTGCAGATGGTAAAGGCATGTGGGGAAGGTGGGTGAAGTACCAGAGGGCTAGGTGGCATAGTTGTACGGTGACCTAGGCACCATCAATTTGCACCTCCATCCACTTGTCTTTCTCCTGCAGCTGATGTTACTCACCGATGCAGGGTTGGAGTTTTGTGCTGTAGTTATGAAGGGTGTTAGGCTATGTAATGGGTTCCTGTTTAAAGGAGAGGAAGAAAAAAAGGAAGAAGAGAAGGAGGTTAGAAAGTGCACAGCCTATGTTGAAAATACATGTAACAACATGAAATTTGCATGTAACCACACTAAATGACTGGGCAATTTTAACAGCATTGTTCACACATAACAGGGTGTTCTGTAAAAAACTCAGCCTTCCCACACAGGCTGCCCTTGCTACAGACACCAAGTCAAGTATCTTCAAAGGGTCTGCTCTCCAAACAAACCTTGCAACACAGAGGCAGCAGCTTCCACTTACCTGTCCATGTCACCCACTGTCTTTGTCCCCAGTGAGCTACAGCAACTCAGCTTTGGCCTGTGTGGTCTCAGTGGTTCCACAGGTAAGGAGGAAGAAGGGGTTGTGGGATGTCTAAGGCCCCTTGGGTCTGAGATACCTCACTCCAAGTGCAGATTTGCTGGATACTGTACCCCAAGGCACCGAGGCCACATGGAGTCAGCCAGAAAGCATCTCTACTTCCTGCATTGTAGGCTCATCCTGGTGGGATGCAGAAGTAATGACTGTGAGAATAACACAGAACACTGGCCATGTCCTCATTGTGAGATTCTGCCCCTAGCTACCATTGTCATCTTTCCCATTTTGTAGGTGAGGCACAGAGAGATGAAGGATGTTGTCCAGGTTCCATCATTCCTGAGAAACACAGCTAGTAAGTTAGCCCTCAACCACTATTGTATCACTATTCCTCAAAGCAGAAGTATTCCTTCCATAGAGGAGAATGGAGGCTGATAACATTCAGGAATCTAAGGACACTTACAAGGCTCAGAAAATTACAAGATTCACAAGGACCCTTTCCAACGTGACAGGGCAAGACAATCCAGAGATTCTTCCATCTTGTATTTTTGCTGAGGCCATATTAGGTTTAACTAGAATTTGATCTCCTTGATGGAGAACCCTGTGGAAAATTACCCAACCCTATTCTAGGACCCTGAGGTCAAGATGCCTCAGCTAACTTATCTTGGCTTCTGTTAAACTGCTTGCTTGTGCAAACCTATCTCTGCAGCTGCCAAGCGAGTTACCAGGATGTGGATTTTGCCTTTAAAAGCCCAGTGATCTGCACACTCGGTGCTACGCTAGGGTCCTAAATACCCTAGTGTAGTCTCAGCCTGCTGGAATAAAGACTTGCAATTGGCTATAAACTATGTCTGAGCTGTCGACTCTGGTGGGCTCCCCATAACACCAAGATTGTGAAGGGTTGATTAGATTTCTAAAACATGGTGCCCCAAATGGCAGGGAGAGCCTATTTGGGTGGAGCTGCCTACATATTGTCCAGGATGCTTTAGGGATGCAGCTTTTGTGAATTGCCACCTGTGTAGGGGTGGGCTTTTTGATGATGTAACTGTCTTTAACTCACCTGTGCCCTATAGATAACCTCTCACCTCACTGGCTCACTGGACTAGACTTGGGTGGAATACTTTCTTGGCTCTGTTGGTGGTGGTGCCTTTTCTAGGGAGAATTGGTACTTACTAATGTGTCCTCCTCCCCCAAAGAAAATCCAGCCATACAACTACCATGATGCACAAGGAGTACAGGCTGTCCTGTGCGTGGAAAGCATGGGGACAGGAGACTGGACAAGATGACCAAGTCTTGATGGAGGTCTCTGTCTCAGCTCTGGGAGTCAGGGTCCTATCTCAGAGTGAATCCGACTTACCAACCAGTTTTTGTTTCTAGGACCCAGACTCGGAGAAAGGCACACTTCACTCAGAGAAAGATGCACTTAACCAACTCCAGAAAAAATTTCAGCTGCTTCTCTTGGCAAGTTGGGGGAGCATGCATCTGCCAAATGGATTCCCTCCTACACTCTCTCCTCCCCACTCTGCTCTT